CAATCCCATGTGGGTGCCAGTTCGTGTCCCAGATGCTCCGCTTCCCTCTTAGCTCCCTGCTTGTGACCTGGGAAAGCAGTTGAGGACAGCCCAAAGCCTTGGGACCCTACACCCGCATGGGAGACCCAGAAGAAGCTCCTGGCTCCTGGCTTTGGATTGGCTCAGCTCCAGCCACTGCGGCCGCTTGGGGAGTGAACCATCAGATGGAAGATCTTCCTCTCTGTCTCTCTTCCCCTCTGACTATCTGACTTTCCAAATAAAAATAAGTGAATCTTTAAAAAAAATAAATAAATAAAAAATTAAAACATGGGTTCAGGAATTTTAAAAAAGAGAAAGAGGAAAGAGAAACAGGAGTGATGGGGCAAGGCTAGAGCTTTGAGGAGATTTTAAAAGAGATATTTGGATGAGGAGGAACGCCGGAGGGCAAGGATCATTTATGGAGGCCAAGGCAGGCATGGGAGGGGAGAGTGCAGCACCAACAGGTCAACAGACAGTGCCAAGTGCAGCGCCTGGTGGCTGGAATCGAGGGGATGGGAAGCGATGAGGACACAGCAGCACGAGTGGGCTCCTGTCTTCAAGGAGCTTTGCTCAAAAGCGTGGCAGTCCGGATGCCTCCACAGGATCCTCTGCCCTCCCTCAGGACGGCAGGAGGAATGAGATCAAGAACCTGGAGGTCGGGTGGGGCGTAAGGCCAGCATTGTGGCACATTAAACCTCTGCCTGCAGTGCCAGCATACCAAATGGGCACTGGTCCTTTGGCTGCTCTACTTCCCATCCAGCTCTCTGCTATGGCCCCTGAGAAAACAGTGGGACAGGGCCTGAGTACCTGGGTCCTACGCTTGCAACACTGCAGCCTATATGAGTACCCAATCAGATCCTGGCTGCTTCATTTCCCGTCTGGTTTTCTGCTCATGGCCTGGGAAAGCTGAGCAGAAGGGGTCCAAGTTCTTGGTGAGAGAGCTGGATGGAATTCCAGGCTCCTGATCACGGAGCCATGAGAAAAGTGAACCAGAGCGGGGAAGATGTCTCTTTCTCTCTGCGTAACTACCTTTCAGATCAATACACCTTAAGAACAAACAAAGGCCCGGCACGGTGGCGCAGTGGTTAAGGTCCTCGCCTTGCACGCCCGGGATCCCATATGGCCGCCGGTTCTAATCCCAGCAGCCCTGCTTCCCATTCAGCTCCCTGCCTGTGGCCTGGGAAAGCAGTCGAGGACAGCCCAAAGCCTTAGGACCCTGCACCCGTGTGGGAGAGGCTCCTGGCTTCTGATCGGCATAGCATCAGCCGTTGCGCTCACTTGGGGAGTGAATCATTGGATAGAAGATCTTCCTCTCTGTCTCTCCTCTCTGTATATCCACCTTTCCAATAAAAATAAAAAATAAATCTTAAAAAAACGAATTTCACAGATGCACACATGTCCAGAGGTCGCTCGACACTTTCTGTGCACCCGCATGAGTGTTGATTATCCTTGCCAAAGCTGAAACAATGTGTCACCATGGAATGACCTGCAGGTGACATCCAGCTGACTTCTGAGTTGACTTCCTGCCTGACGATGCTTGACTCTCCCTTCCCACCTGCTTTGAAGACGCCTCCTCAGCCCCAAGCAAACAGCTCTTTCTCCGTGGCGACCCCAATCCTAATTTACCCAACTGGAGAGAGACAGAGAGAAACGAAAGTTCGCCAAGTGTCTAAATACTTCAGGATGGGGTTCTTCACTTCTCATGCCTATAACTTACTGAGATCATACTGGCAGGGCCACCGGTTTCAGAGTGTTACGTCACATCCCAGCAGTGCTGCCTGTGACCCAGCTCCCTACCAGGGCACCTGGGAAGGCAGCAGAGGATGGCCCAGGTGCTTGAGTCCCTGCACCCACCTGGGAGACCTGCACAGAGCTCTTGGCTTCTGATTTCCAACTGGCCCAAGCCCGGTCATTGGAGCCTCTTGGGGAGTGAACCAGTGGATGGAAGGTGTTTCTCTCTCTCCTCTTTCTATGCAACTCTGCCTTTCCAATAAACAAATAAATACATTTTTTTTAATTGGGTGTGGATTTCAATTGTTGTATCAAGCCCAACGTACTCTTCGCCTCCACTCTCCACAAGCCTTTTGAAGTGCTGAGTGTGGGATCATCTCTGTGCCGGATAAACCTTTCCTTGGGTATTACTCAACGCTTGTTGCTGCTCACTCTCCACCGTGCTAATAATGGAAACCCACAAACATGCAAGAACTCATTCAGGGAACTTGCCCTTCAACACAGCAACAGGTCACATTCAGTCAATACTTTAGTTGTGCCCAAAAAGGTGCATGCCTTGGATTTCCTTAATCCTATCTGACTCACAATAGAGTTGCTTTTGCAGTTGAAGAAACTGAGGCACACAAAAAGTCATTTTCTCGAGGTCACACACGTAAGATGAGCTGGGCTCTAAATCTAGCAGTTTGACTCCAGATAATGTAAGCCTAGCCACTACTCTACACTGCACGCAATTTTTTTTTACTGAAACTTTTTTTTTTAAGATTTATTTGAAAGGTAGAGTGACAGAGAAAAAGACATCTTTTTTTTTACATTTTATTATTATTATTATCATTTTATGATGCAGTTCCATAGGCTCCTGGTATTTCCCTTATGCCAGCCCCAATTCTGCCCCTCACCCCCCGCCTAGTTCCTCTATATCATTACTAAAGTATAGTTCTTCTTACACAGTCATATGTTCATCATTGCGGGCATGGACAATGGCAGAGAGTCCAGTATCCTATTGCCAAGATAGAGTGAACAGTTTCATTGTAAGTCCATCTTTGAAAAAGATATCTTCTATCTGTTGGTTCACTTTCCACTTGATCACAATCAGCGGGGCTGTGCCATGCCAAAGCCAGGCCCCCGGAACGTATCTACCCAGGACTCCCACATGGGAGACCGGGACCAAGGACCTGGGGACCTTCCCCCTTTCTCCCCAGCTGCCTTAACAGGGAGCTGCATCGGAAACAGAGCAGCTGGGACTTGAACCCAAATGGGATCTGGTGTTCCAAGCGGCAGCTTCACTTGCGGCGCCACAACAGTGGCCCTAAAATAAAGGATTTTTAAACAATTTATGTTCCACAAACATCACAGGTTGGTCTATTTGGTGACTTTGAACAGAGTTCTACAAATCATGGGGCTCTTAAGAAAAAGGGACCCTGGAAGTGTGAATTCGGCCGCCACCTTCGGGCAGGGCCGGAACCCAGCAATTCCAGTGTGGGGAACAAAACCCCACCAGCCGTGTCACCATTCCTTCCAGAACCTACTCCAGCACCCCATGCTGCCAGCGGGGACCCATCCCTTGGCTTCATCAACCTCAGGATTTCCGTTTCCCTCACAGAACCAAGGGGAGAGGGAGCATTCAAGTGAGATGGGATTCATGAGACTGGCCAGGCGTGTGAGCCACGTGTGTGCTGGGGCAGGGACAGAGAGGAGGGACCTGCCGAGGGTGGTGGCACAGAGCCACAAGCCAGCCAAAGCCAGCTCACCCAGAACCAGTCACCCCTGAATGTCCACATAGGATCCCCCCATTATCCGTGGGCTCTCTTCTACACGTCCGAATCCACCGATGCTCAAATCCTTAAAGAGCTGCCTCCACAGACCACGCAGCCCCCAGAGACTTAATCCATATTTTTGTGTAACACCTGATTTGGTAAGTTTTTTTTGTTTGTTTGTTTGATTGTTTTTAGCAAATAATGGCTATACTGTTTGGTTTAAAGAATAGTAACAAGAATTAAAAACACCTGTGCATGTATTGTGCACACCCAGCTTTTTTTCCTTTTTAAAGATTTATTTTTATTATTTTTTCATTGGAAAGGCGGATATACAGAGAGGAGAGACAGAGAGGAAGATCTTCCATCCAATGATTCACTCCCCAAGTGAGTGCAATGGCCGATGCTATGCCGATCCGAAGCCAGGAGCCTCTTTGGGCAGTCCTCAACTGCTTTCCCAGGCCACAGGCAGGGAGCTGGATGGGAAGTGGGGCTGCCGGGATTAGAACCGGCGACCATATGGGATCCTGGGCGTGCAAGGCGAGGACCTTAACCACTGCGCCACCGCGCCGGGCCCCACCCAGTTTTTAAAAATGTGTTTTTTCCATCCACTTGAAAGGCAAAGGACAGAGACAGAGAAATCTTCCATCCACTGCCTCATTCCCCCAAATACACGCAACTACCAGGCTGACGTCAGGAGCTAGGAACTCCATCTGGGTGTCCCCCGTGGATGGGCATGGACCCCAATGCTTGGGCCGTCACCCGTTATCTCCTCGGTTCCTTAGCAGCGAGTCCCGGGGGCAGAACAGGCATCGCTGTAAGGGACGCGGCAGGTGCTGCAAATGGAGCCATCTCCACCACGATGCCAGCCCCACCCCACACTGGATTCACTCCACGCTGGCTGAATCCACAGGTGTGGAGCCACTGCTGGGGGTTAAACCAACAGAGCCACCCAGAGCAAACGCAGGGCGGGGAGCCGGCCATGCCGGGGAGAAGCCAGGCCTGGGTGATGCTTCCAGCCTGCAGCCATGTTCTCTGGGTCAAAGTCCCGCCTGGCCTGGAACTATCACCGACCGGATTTCAGCTTTCCCTTTTGCAACCCCAATAATCTCAGGGACTGAACTGGACCTGGCGGTAGGGAGCGCTCTGTGGGAATGAGGGCCGGTGGAGGGCAAATGCAAGCGGCTCCCGTGCTAGACGCTGACGCAGCCGGAGCAATCTCTCACCTTGAGATCTCAGAACGTGATGCCTCCTGGGCTCGGCATCCACGGCAAGGAGTGCCCGCTCGCGCCCCGCAAATCCCGCCGGTTCCTCTCAGCCTTAAGCCCATCTCCGGATCCAGAACGGCCCGGCTCGGGCCTCGGGCGCCCCCTGAAGGCCGCCTGTGGGACAGTCCCCCCGCTTGGGGGCGAGGCGAGTGGGTGTGGTCTTCTCGCGTGAACTGATGGCGTCACCGACGCGACGGGCCCGGAAGGAAGGAAGGAAGGAGCGTGCAGTGAGGGGTGTGGCGGTTGCTGCGGTTGCCGCGAGGGGTTCGGAGGAGGACGGAGCGCCCGGAGGGACAGCCCGGTACGCGCCCCGGCCCTTGGCGGGCGCCCTGGGGAGCCCGGTGGCCGCTGGGGGGCCGGAGCCGACGGCGATCCGCCCGCCGGCCCTAGCACGCTCTCCCGGGGCCGGCCGAGCAGTCCCTGTCTGCAGCGTCCCCTTCTTGCCCACGACCGAGCCCTCTGCACGCTGGGAACGCGCGAGCCGCTCCCGGAGGACAGGGCGGGGAGGGAGAGGAGCCGGAGGAGGCGGAGGAGGGGGCGTTTGCAGAAAGGACCCCATTGCGGGTGGGTACCTGCCTGCCCGCCCGCCTCGGACACAGCCGGGAGGCTGGAGGGCCCGGACTCGCCCCACTGAACTTGGCCTTCATTCTCCCCCCTCGCAGCCCTGCGGTTTCTGCAAAATGTTGAGGCCAGTTTCAGGATGCCAGGTCCTGGTGCCTGAGCGCGGTCAGAGCCAAGGACTCCACAGGCTGCCAACTCGGGGTGCCCCCTCTCACCTCCTGCACACTCTCCTCCAGCTTGGCCGGTGCCAGAGGCACTGTGACTCCAGGGCTGTGCAATGCCCTGTCCTGTTTAGGGCCAGGTTGGGGGCAGGACAGATCTTTGCCTCTGCCCTCAAACCCGCACCCCGTAGCGTTGTAAAAGAACCCATGATTCCCTTGGCCGTGGCAGGCAGTGAGGACTGGGAGGCCCCGGCCAGGGTTACACAGCCACAAGTGCTCCGCAGTCTGCCAGCTTGTGTAACTTTGGGGTCACCGTGGGACAGCTGCCTGTCCTCCGACTCCCCGGGGGAGTCACAGGAGGTTGTGCTGTGAACCCTACCCAGCCGGGACTGGTTCCCGCTCCCCAGTCAGGGCTGCGGCCTCCTCCCCTGCAGGTGGAGGCGGAGGGAGTGGGCGTGTTGACTGAGAAGAGGGTGTGGACCCAGCCCCATGCGGGGAGTCCATTTCGGGGAGGAGGGCCTTTGCGCTGCCCGTGGGCCCACACCCTTCCTGCTCGTGTCTTCCCTGTAGGAGCAAGGCTCGCTGATGGCTCAGCTGGGAGCGGTTATGGCTGTGGTTTCCAGCTTCTTCTGTGCTTCTCTCTTCTCTGCCGTGCACAAGATAGAAGAGGGTCATATTGGGGTGTACTACAGGTAAGAGTCCCGTCCCCCCCCCCATCCAAGCTGGGATCTTGGATGAAACGACTCCCGTATCCTTGACTCTTTGCAGGCTGCCGAGTGTCTGCGTTCCTGTTTGCTGGGATGGGGAAGCCTTTTCGAGGTGGTCTTTTAATATCAGTGCAGTGTGTGTGTGTGTGTGTGTGTGTGTGTGTGTGTGTGTGTGTGTGTGTGTTGGCAGTTTAAACCTTCCCTTTAAGAGGACACCCCAGACGGGCATTGCGAAGTACATCTGTCAATTTAGGAACGAAATCGAAGGGAAACCCTAACCCTGGGGCATCACTCCTGAGCTGTCATTCCCCCCCACACACACCCCATCCCTCTGGGAGTCTTGGCTTCACACCGCCCGGGTGGCCTGTACAGGGGCTCAGCTGCGACCCGCTGGCTGATGGCAGCTGGAGAACAGGCAGCCCCTCCTCCGCTCCCTTGGGCCACTCTCCCAAAGTGAACATTTCAAGGAAAAGAAAAAACAGAAAACAGAAGCGGCAGCAGACTGATGGTGCCCATCAAGGCAAGCCTTGGGAAGTGGGCGTTTTACAGTACAGAAGGTCATTATTCGCCGTTTTTCTTAGTGCCGTTTGGTTGTTCCTGCTGTTGACTTTGTAATGCAAAGCCAAGCCGCTCTTCTGTAAGTCTTAGGTGTTTTCTAGTTAGTCATCTCCCTGGGCCCAAGTTGTCTTTAGGGACCCCGTCCTGTGTGCCCCGCTCCCCACGCCCCTTCCTGGATGGCCCACAGCAAGGGCTCACACTTCGCTGGGCTTCTCACCATCTGTTCACATGTTCCCATAAAAGGCCTTTCATTTTTATCATATACATTCAGCTTGATTGGAAAGGTAATTCTACTGCTAAGACAAACATTGAAATGACTTTTTAAAAAGTGTACATGATTCTTTGGGCCGGCCCGTGTCACCAGACGCCAACTTGAGTGCGGTTAATTGATAACCACGCTCATATTACCAGAGTCAACCATCCAGATAGATCGCCCCAGGCCCCGAGATAGGACCAAGTAGAATGGGCTTCCTCCCTTATCTGAAAGATTGTGCCTCCTGGCTCGTGTCCACCATTTTCTCCTTGCACAGATGTGAGTCCCGGCTTTCTGTTCGTCCGTTAGGCTCTCTGGGGCGTTAGGGTCAAGCCACGTGGATTCCTCTAGGCTAGATGCCTGTGGGACTAAAGGGAAAGTTGGCACCCAGGGTATTGGTCTAACGGACCCTGCCCCTCTGTCTGTCTCTCTCTCTGCAGAGGCGGTGCCCTCCTGACCTCCACCAGCGGTCCTGGCTTCCATCTCATGCTGCCCTTCATCACCTCCTATAAGTCTGTGCAGGTACACCCGGCTTGGGCGGTGTGGCATTGACTGGCGCATGACTGGCCACCATGCCCTCCCAGAGACTCACTGAGCAGTACCCCATGCCTGGTGCCTGCTCTCAAAGGGGTCCCTGAGGGCTCACGTAGCTAAGTGGGCTTGTGACCTTGACCCCCGCCGGAGCTCATGTCTTCAAGTCAGCCTTGGCAGACTCTGATCTGAATGTGTACAAGGGGAAGTCAGGTGTGCGTATCTAGTTGAAAGTCACAGGCTACCGCAGTAGATAAATATAGACGTGGTAGTTTTGCTGCTTCTAATTTGAACTACAGAAACAGGAACGTAGATTTGTGGGGTTTTTTTTTAAACAGGGCCTGGGGAGAGGAAAGTTGAACTGGACAGAAAGATGAGCTGTGGTTGCTCTAAAGCCTGGCTCTGGAGTGTGTCAAGGACGACTGGCTGCCCCGGAACTCGGGGCCTGCAGCGCCTCACCGGCCTGTTTTCCTCCCTGGGAATTGCTGTACTGGCTTGCAGAGTGCCTCGGGTTACACTCGCTCCCTTGAGTCTGGCCTAGTCAAGGAAAATGGACTGGCCAGGTTTGACAGCCAGAGGCGGGTCAGGTAGGAACAGGCAGTTTCAGAACAGTCCGCAGAAGCCACAGAAATAGACTGCCAGGCTGAGGACCACCCCCCAACCCCCCCGATCCAGGGTCTTTTTTTACCAGACCGCCACGACTTGGCTGGGTCACATGGTGACCCCCTCACAGGAAGCTGGAGAAGGTGGCTTGCTCGCCCCAAGGAGAAGGAGGCGAGCTGGGCCCCTGGGCGGTGAGCCGCTTTGCCTACCCGTGCCCGTCTGACAGTGTGCCATGTCTCCCTCGCTTCCAGACCACGCTGCAGACAGATGAGGTGAAGAACGTGCCCTGTGGGACCAGGTAAGGTGCCAGGCTAGCACAGCCTCGTGCAGCTGGCCTGAGAGGGGCCAGGCTGGCAGGCCTCCCAGCTCCCTGCATCCTCATTGGCCAGCCTGCACAGCACAACAGAGGAACCTTCCAGAAGGCTTGGGAGGGATCAGAGCCCTTGCCAGCAACGCCCCGGCCTCCTCAGTGTTTGTAGCAGGTGAATGACAGCCTGAGCATCCCCCACCTTGGAGGACATCCTGAAGAGAGAACAGACCCTCCAGGCAGGACCTCCCCCGACAATGCTGTGACAGGCGGGAGAGCAGAGGGCCCTAAGCTGGCCTCTAGGAACCAGGTAGAAAGTGCCACAGAGCGTAAAGTGCCCGCAGCATAACCAGCCTGGCATTCGGCACAGTTAGTATTCACAGAGATGAACAAATGCAAGGTCAGCCGTTGTGGCACGACAGGTTAAGCTGCCCTCGGGACACCTGCCTCCCATAGAACAGCACTGGTTCTTGTCCCTGCTCCTCCACTTCCCAATCCACTTCTCTGCTGATGCCCCTGGGAAGGCAGCGAATGATGGCCCAAATACTTAGGCCCCTGCCACCCATGTAGGAGACCAGGATCGAGTTTCTGGCTTTAGCCTGGCCTAGGGCTCGGCTGTCGTGGTAATTTGGGAAATGAACCAGAGGATAAAAGACCTCTTTCTCTTTTCTACCCTCACCCACCCTCCCACCCCCGCTGTCTTTCTGTCACTCTCCCTTTCAAATAAGTGAAAGTCTTCTTTTAAAAAGCAATAGTGAGCTTTGCTTAGAACCTGATCCGAAAACAACAGCTGTGCGTGACGTGCAGGGACAGACCTGTCACCTGTTCAGGCTGCCATGGCAACACCACAGGCTGGGGGCTCAGATCAGCTTCCAGACCCATCGGGGCTGGCTTCTGGTGAGAGCCCCCTTCTTGGTTCGCCTACGACCCCCCTCTGGCTGTGCCTTCCACCTGTGCCCACCTAGAGAAAGAGATCTCTGATAAAGTGTCTCTCTTGTTATGGGAGCACCAGGGCCTCCCCTTAACCCTGTTCACCCCTAAGTACTTTCCTGAAGGTGGCCGTCTCCACAGGTGCCCACGCTGGGCATCAGTGTGTGAGCACACAATTCAGCCCACAATGAGGACACCCGGGAAAATCTGATTGCAATGCAGGCGTTAGGCCATCCTAAAAAGTCACTGTTAATTGTCATGATTATGTAGCTGAATGTGACTGCTCTTGGGCAGTGATTGCTAGAGCATCAATGTGTAAAATGTTCAGCAGAATCAATCAATAAGGTGAAATGTGATGTGGAATTTTGGTGTCTGTATGTGAGTTAGTTGTACTGTTCCATTGAGCTTTTCTGTGCATTTGAGGAAACCTTTTATGGTGACTGTTTGTGGGTAGTGACAAAACCAAGGCGGGAGACATTGACCTTAAAATTCCACAGTGACCCTGTGCGCCCTGAACAGCTCCCTTTGGTCTTTGCTGGCAGTTGCCCTCAGTGAAAGGCATCGCTGACGTAAAAGCGACGAATCACCCCTGGCTTGCGGAGACCGCAGAAGCTGTCCGCTCTTCTTTGTGGAGGTGTTTTCAGGCGATGTAGGGCTGCTCTAAGCATCCGAGATGGCCCCCTTGGCCGCCACCCCTCCCCTCTCATAGGCTGTCCCTGTGGAGGACTGCAGCGTCCTGCGGGGCTCCCAAGTGACTTCCGGTGCCTTGTCCCTCCCGCAGTGGCGGTGTGATGATCTACTTTGACCGAATTGAAGTGGTGAACTTTCTGATCCCAAATGCAGGTACGCCCCATCCCACGTCCTCTCCCACCCTGGCGGGGGCCCCTCTCCCCGCCGTGTCTGAGAAGCCCCAGTTTGTCGCTCGTGCTGAGCCACTCCTTCTGTCGCAGTGTATGACATCGTGAAGAACTACACGGCCGACTACGACAAAGCCCTCATCTTCAACAAGATCCACCACGAGCTCAACCAGTTCTGCAGCGTGCACACGCTGCAGGAGGTCTACATTGAGCTGTTTGGTGAGCAAGCCTCCCCCGCCTCACCCACCGCCTGCTCTGGGCCCCCCTCCGCAGCAGTGTGGTCGGCCAGGGAGGGTCATCCATCATCCGTGCAGCGGTGGGCCCCGAGCACAGGAGGATCGTGGCCAGAATATTCCCTCGTGACCTCGGGCAGCAGACTGTCCAGGGCCCCTGAGTCAGTCATCTCCCTGGAAATCCGGCAAGGCCAGTTCCAGAGGAAGCTCAGAGCTGAGCCAGTTCACCAGTGGCAGATGTGGCAGACAGAGCTAGGGGCTGCCCCTCTCCTGGCCCTCCCCTGGGACCCCCTTCCCCAGGCCACCCTGAATGTAGAGCACCTGGGAGTGGCTGATGGGGCTGGTGTGGCTTACAGCTAATTCTAGAAGGCCATGAGAACCTCCCAGTTCCCCTTACAGTCCCTCGGGCCTTCAGGTTTATCCTTTCACCCTGTGCCTACCGAGTTGGGGAAGGGAACACTTGAAACAAAAGGGGTTCCAGTAGGTAAGTAAACACCCGGGTCGCTTTTACCTGGTCAGAGTAAACACAGAGGGAAACACAGAGGAAACATTTCGTTAGCTTGTGGCTCTTTCTCGATAGTGTTTTGTTTAAACTCGCTTCTACAAATTTTCCAGTAGCCAGTGCCAAAAGTGAATGAATTTTCAACCAGTAGTACAACTTTTTATGGTTCACTCCCCAAGTAGGCACAGCCGCCGGAGCTGAGCCAATCTGAAGCCAGGAACCTGGAGCTCTTCCAGGTCTGCCTTGTAGGTGCAGGGTCCCAAGGCTTTGGACCATCCTTTATTGCTTTCCCAGGCCACAAGCAGGGAGCTGGATGGGAAGCGGGGCTGCAGGGATTAGAACTGGTGCCCATATGGGATCCTGGCGCGTGCTATCAAGACTCATTTATTTGTTCATTTAAAGGGCAGAGGGAGATCCTTTCAACTGGTTCACTCCCCAGTGGCCACAGTGTCCACGGCTGGGCCGTCCTCTGCTGCTTTCCCAGGTGCATTAGCAGGGAGCTGGATCCAGAGTGAAGCAACCAGGACTCAAATCAGCACCCTGGTATGGGGAGCCAGTGTCCCAAGTGGTAGCTGAACCCCCTGCCTCAGGGTACTGCCCGCACAGCTGTTCTGGGTACCATGACTGCACAGTGATGTTTTTTTTTTTAGTTCATTTTTGTAGGGGTAGTATTCTTTTATTGATAATAGGTTGAATTACTTTAAATATATATATATTTGAAAAGCAGTTAGAGCAAGAGATCTTCCATCCAGTGGTTGACTCCCCCTCAACCCCCGTGGGCAGGAGCCTGGAACTCCGTGCAGGTTTCCCGCGTGGGGAGCAGGAGCCAGGCTTTGGACCATCCTCCGCTGCTTTCCCAGGCCATCAGCCCTGAGCTGGATGCAAAGTGGAGCAGCGGGGACTTGAATGGCACTCCCATGGAATGGCTACATTGCAGGCGACAGTTTAATTTCCTGTGCCACAACACCAGCCCCAAGATTCAGTAAATCTTTTTAAGAAATTGTTGATGCACCCATTATTGATTTTTTTTTTAATCTCAAACTAACAGCATGTTATAAAAATATGAATTTTTCTCTCTAGCCCCTGTTTTAGGACATATGGCATTAAGTGAACATTTTAAACCATTTGAAACGGCAAAGAGACAACAGATCTTTAATGTCCCTGGAAAGAAAATTAAAACACTAGGTTGTTTTTCATTAGCGCACTTCTTCGTGTCTGACAAATAAGCCTGGGAACTTAGTGAAGATATAGTTTCTTATTTAGGAGAGCTGGGGAAGAAATACTTGCTTTCAAACTTTGTTTGCTTCTGAATGCCAATGTAGCTGGCATGCACGACTTTTCTTGGAGCCTATTTGCATCTGTCTGGGAGGGTGTGTGTGTGTGTGTGTGTGTGTGTGTGTGTGTCTAGTCCTGTCCCTTGAACCTGCAAAGCTCCTACCTCCGAGGTCTGGTAGTCACAGCTTTAGGCAGAACTCTGCAGAATGCCGCCCCTTCCCCTGCCCCTGCCACGTCCTCCTGGAGGGAGACCACTGTGGCTGCCTGTCCCCAGCTTCGCAGGAGGGCCCCTTTGTGTAGACTTGGTCATAGGATTCCATTGGCCCTGACCCAGTTAGCAGTGCGGATCAGTAACCTAGCAGTAGCACTGAAATGCCTTGTAGAACATCTCTTCTGGTTTCCCGTAGCTGGACAGCAGCCCAGGGCCACAGGTTTTCGCTTGGACTCATGTGTCATTTGTCTGGTGAACAGCTCTCACAGAGGGCATAGGTCATCTCACTGAAAGTTTGGTTGTTCAGATGAACAAATGTGAGTGTAAGCTTCCTCTGGGTGTTAGATGGGCAGGCCCGTCCTCGCTTGGGACTAGGCCACCCAAGCCCTTGCTCACTGGCAGGCCGCTGAGGAAACAAAGTGCTGTTTTGAAACCCTAATCATTGATTGTGTCACCTTTACACAGTTCCCTCCTTTTGACCACTAGCTGGCTTCCCTGGGCATCCACCTAGGCACCCATAAGAGGAAGCTGTCCCTTAGAGTTGCAGGCTCGGCCCCGGGTGACCAAAGAGTGGCCAGTTAACAGCAGGGAGGCGATGCAGTTGGGCAGCCGCAGCCTGGTTACATAGAGTCTCTCGAAGGCCTTCAAGTGTCTTGCCGAGGATCTGGTACCCAAGCAGGCTGAGCCCAGGCGTGAGGGTACAGCTGGAAGGTGGGGGTGTCACGGCCGCCCCTGCACTTCAGATGGCAGAACAGGGCCCACAGCAGACAGCTCATCGAGGGGTTTGGCCAGCGCCTCTGCAGAACTGTCCGTGTCCCGTTCTGTCACCGGACGGCCTTCCTAATGAGGCAGCCTTCTTTCTTGACATCACAGCCCAGTTTTCTATCAGAAACCTGAAAGCACCAGATTGAATGGACCCAACTCTTTCTTTTTTTAATCTATTTATTTTAAATATTTACTTATTTGCTTGTTAATTATTTTTATTTTTGATGATTTTTTACATAGTTCATTAGGGTGATGAGGCTCAGGGCTACAGGAAGGTGGGTGAGATCACCATTTCTTTCCTTCCTCTGTCTGGGGGAAAGAGGGACACAAGGAGAGAAGCCACACGCAGCCTCGCAAACGCCCCTGCTCCCTGGGATGGTGGGCAGCCACCTGACACCAACCCCAGGGTCCCTGCTGTGGGGCATGCTCCAAGGGTCCTGCCCGAGAAGTTTCACACCTTCAGCAGTTCCAAATTATTGCCGATCTCGCCACGCCCAATCACGATGAAATCTCTCCAGAATCCATTGATCAACATAATCCACCTTAGAGTCTCCGTTTGCCCAGATATTCACTGCCAACACTTGGCCAGGACAGTTGATTGGTGTGTTCTATCCTCCATCCTCTGTTACGGTGCCAGGTGCCCTCTGCAGACTCCAGTGCACTGCCACAAGATTTATTTCTATTGGAAAGGCAGATCAGATTTACAGAGGAGAGACAGAAAGATCTTCCATCTACTGGTTCATTCTCCAAGTGGCCCTAATGGCTGGAGCTGAGCTGATCCAAAGCCAGGAGCCTCTTCTGGGTCTCCCGTGCCGGGGCAGGGTCCCAAGGCTTTGAGCCGTCCTCGAGTGCCACAAGTAGGGAGCTAGATGGAAAACAGAACAGCCAGGACACAAACTGGCACCCATCCAAGATGCCGGTGCTTAGAGGTGGAGGATTAGCCAACAGAGCTGTCACGTAGGCCCCATGCCCAGCTCTTTGTAAAAGGCCTGGTGCAAGCTATGAACCCCCTTGTCTTTTGCTTCTGCTGTGGCCTGTCTCAGGAGTACACTAGAATTGCTTCTGTGTGGGCCCAGCGCGATGCTCTCATTGGCTAATCCCCCTGCAACCACCAGGATCCCATATCCACACCGGTTCATATCCTGGCTGCTCCATTTCCAATCCAGCTCCCTGCTTGTGGCCTAGAAAAGCAGTCGAGGACAGCCCAACGCCTTGGGACCCTGCACCCATGTGGGAGACCCAGAAGCTCCTGGCGCCTGGCTTTGCATTGGCTCAGCTCCAGGCATTGTGGCCATTTGGAGAGTGTACCATCAAATGGAAATCATTTTTGTGCCTTCTCTCTGTAGATCTGCCTTTTCAATAAATAAATAAGTAAATCTAAAGAAAGAAAAATAGAAGAATGTTGTATCCATTTGTACTTACACGCGGTTGCGCTGGAGAACCCCATCAGTATGCTTAGCAGCGAAGCTCTGTTACTCTGAGGGCCCCCGAAAGCCCAGCAGAGGCCAAGCCCCCGTAACGCTGCAGCACAGGGCTGCTGGGGCTCAGGTCTCTGACCCCTCTGCGCAGGGGCCTTAGATTCACGGGGAGCACACTGCCTCAGGATACCTATGCGGGTCCCCACACCGCTCTCCGCCTTCCGTCTAGCATGCTCTCTCCTTGCCCTCAGATCAGATCGATGAAAATCTCAAACTGGCCTTGCAACAAGACCTGACCTCCATGGCACCCGGGCTGGTCATCCAGGTGAGCACCGCGGTGGGTGGGGGAGGCCCCTCCCTGTGGCATTGCAGAGCCTCGTGCAAGGGACCCCGTGTTTGTGCCAGCGGACGCTGGTCTGCGTCCTTGCTGCCTTCACTCTCCCACCCGTTGCTCTCCGTGCCCTCCAGGCTGTGCGAGTGACCAAGCCCAACATCCCAGAGGCCATCCGCAGAAACTACGAGCTCATGTGAGTGTGCCCAGCAGCCCACATCCCCCGTGCCCGCCACCTGCCACCCGCCATGTCCTCCCCTACCCGGCCCCCCGAATGCACAGGGCTGGGTCCCTGGGCAGTGGAACAGCTCTTCGCAGCCACCGTGACAGAGAACTTTGCACAGCTTCCAGGGTGGGAAGGAAGCAGTCGGCTGTCCCTGGAGGAAGGCCGGGACTCTGCGGGGCGCATGGAGCCCCTCGGCCACGCCACCCTGACCACAGCCTGCTTCCCTCCCCTTCAGGGAAAGCGAGAAGACAAAGCTGCTCATCGCCGCCCAGAAGCAGAAGGTGGTGGAGAAGGAAGCCGAGACGGAGCGCAAGAAGGCCCTCATTGGTGGGACCGCGGTTCTGTGACCCCTGGCCGGGCGGGAGGGCTGGGACCACAGGGGACAGGCATGGGAGGCACTGGTGTGGCCGCAGCACAGGGTGCTTCAGCCGTCTCCTTGTGCAGGACTGACACTCGTGTCCCCGAACACAGCTGCCGCCTGGTGGCGGGTTTTGACTGTCCACCTCTGAGCCCGTTAAGTCTTGAGTTTCCAACCCTGTATTTCAGCACCATAGTACTTGCCATGTGTGCTAAGTGTTTTGTGCAACTGCAGTCTTCATCATTGTCATACGTGTGTGTGTGTGTGTGTATATACAACTATGTAAATGATGAGACATATAGGTCAAATGAAAACAGCCCTGCCTGTTAATATGTTTAAGATTTATTCAGTATTCATTTGAAAGCAGAGTAACAGAGAAAAAGACGAGTTAAGAGATCTGTGTGCTGGTTCACTTCCCAAATGGCTGTGATGACGGGACAGTCGAGGCTGCAGGCAGGAGTCAGAAGCTGCAGCCTGGACTCTGATATGGCTGCAAGGACCCAGGCACTCGAGCCGTCCTCTACTGCTCCCCCACGCACATTAGGAGGGGGCTGGCCAAAAAGTGGAGCAGCTGGAACTCAAACCAGCACCCCAAGATGGGATACCAGCATTGGAGCTAAGGCTTAACCTGCCGTGCTGCAATGCCAACCCCATTCCTAATCATTTTAACTTCATAATGCTGACCTGTGCTTCCTGGACACCCTCCCACCCCTCCCGTGAGCCCTGTATTTATTTATTTACTTACTTACTTGTTTATTTTTATTTCTTTTAAAGATTTTTTTTGTTTGTTTTGAAAGAGCAGAAGAACAGAGAGATTTTCCATCTATTTGTTCACAGCCCACATGGCTGCCGAGGGCAGCACTAGGTCCAGACCAGAGCCAGGAGCTTTTTTTAGGTCTCCTACATGGCTGGCAGGGTCCCACATACCTTGGCCATCAGGCAGGACATGCACCGACCCCCTTACGGGATGCTGGTGTTCTAGGCGACAGCGTTACCCACTGTGCCACAGCACCGGCCCCAAGCCCTAAGCGCTGACTACGTGCATGGACTCAGTCCTCAAAACCACCATACGAATTACACGCTAGCCTCAACCACATCCTACTGAATCGAAGCAGAGAGGGTCAGTGCCATGGCCAAGGTCATGTGTGTGTAAGTAGTGGAGCTGGAGTTGATCCCCTGGGACTCTCACCCTGGAACTTGTGTCCCTCACCACTGCACTGTGTCATTAACAACCCACCCAGGCAGAAGCTTCTTAGTGTACCTTACTCTTGGGGCTGTTGCTCTGAGAGGGTAGGGCCTGGCCCTCTGCTGCCCGTCACTGTCTTGTTGCTGATGCACAGTGCTGTGCCCACACCCCATGCCATGTGTGCTGCCTGCCGGGTCAGGGATCTCTCTCTCTCCAAGCTTACTTGCTGTCATGGCTGAGGGCAGTTGGGTCTGGGCAGGTAACGTATCGGAGCTCTGAGTCTGTTCTCCACCTCACCCATCCAGAGGCAGAAAAAGTGGCCCAGGTGGCAGAAATCACGTATGGACAGAAGGTGATGGAGAAAGAGACAGAGAAGAGGATCTCAGAAATCGAAGGTAAGCAGGAGTGTCAGACGCCCACCCGTGGCCAGCGGGCAGGGCCAGTCCCCGTGGCCCAGTGGCTCTGCCCTGCCAGCTCACAACCACATTGCCCTCGGCCTAGAGTTTGGAAATGTTGACACCTGGAGTCGGGTGTCCACACCCAGAAGCCACCGTGGCTTGTGCTGCTCTTGGCGCAGAGCCGTGAGGTGCTGGGTACCAGGTTAGGCCCCAGAAAGGGAAAAAAAAACTAGTCACTTGGGGACAGTCAGCAGCCACTTTGACAGGACCAGACGGAGAGCGAGCCAGGTTTGCAGAAGATGCATGGTCAGCACCAGCAGCACTGTGGCTGGGGAGCCGAGGCCCCACCCCTGCCAGCACCCGCCTGGTATGAAGCAGGTGCCAGGGTGGAGGAGGGCCCTGAGGCCTGGCCTCAGGCTGCACAGTGTTGGCGGTAATGACGCCCCTCCCTCACAGAGGCCTCTGGAGGAGTCTTCAGGACATCATGGTTCAGAGCTTGCCCTGCACAGGGAGCTCTCAGCCACACGGACACTCCTTAGAAGGTGCACAGGGCAGACGGCACCATGTGGCCTCTGCCTGGAACAAAGCCACAGCGGAGTGTCCTCCCCACATCGAGGAGTTCAGCAGGTCGTAATCTAGACGCACACGCACTGCAAGTCCCCTCGTAGGCTCCTGCCAGCTGAGGCCCTGTATTCTGGGAGTTCGTCCTGAGACCGGCGGCAGTGACGGTCGGCAAGGACTGCGCTGTCTGTTGGTGGTGCTCGGCCTCGGAGGGGGGTCTGCATCTGGCTGTATGCAGAGCTTTCTTTGGGCTTCTCTTGCTTTTACTGTGTAGCCCAAGAGGAGTGAGGTGGAAGGTTCTGGAACTGGAGCCGTAGCTGGAGTTCCACCACTTGCTTTACAGAGACAGAGGCCCGGTGTGCAGGAGGAGGTGGATAGCGTCTCTGGAAGCTGGGCACGCTCTGGTCTTGCCCTCAAAGCACAGCTTCAGAGCCACGGCCACAGGGTGACCGACAGCTGCTTGCCCCGGGCACAGCCGCCCTGTACTGTTGCCTTCTCTTGTGCGATCGTGGCAACCCCTGGCTTTTGCGCTTCATGCGGTTCTCTGTATTCATGCCCTCAGATGCTGCATTCCTGGCCCGGGAGAAGGCAAAAGCCGACGCTGAGTGCTACACGGCTCTGAAAATAGCCGAGGCCAACAAGGTGATGACCAGCACAGCCCACAGGGCGGGAGGGCAGGTGGCTTGAGGCTTGGATTTGTGTCAAGAGTGTGAATTTATTGCAGTGCAAAGATTGGAATTCATACATAGTTATTTCATTTTTGTTTATGCATTTTTCACATATTGTTGAAAAAAAAATGTTAGGGGCCAACCTTGTGACCCACTGGTATCCCATGTGGGCACTGGCTTATGTCCCAGTTCCTCCACTTCCCAATCCAGCTCCCCATTAATGGCCTGGAAAAAGCAGTGGAAGATGGCCCAAGGGTGCGGGCCCATGCACCCACGGGGGAGGTCTGGAAGAAGCTCCTAGCCTGGCTTAGACCTGCTCTTGTGGCCATCTGGGGAGTGACCGGGTGGAGGGGAGATGTGTGTGTGTCTCCTTTCTCTGTTACTCTGCCTTTCAGATTCCTAAATCAATGCATCTCCAGAAAGAAAGGGAAATACAAACCTTGATAGACGTTTCATTGTTGCGCCAAACGTGGGAACTTCGAAACTCTTGCGCTGTGTTTTGGAGAGCTGATATTACTTTTTGTCTTTAGAGCAGGGGTGGGGGAACCCGTTTTCTGCGCATGGGCCGTTTGGATAGTTCTAGCATCATTCACAAGCCACACAAAATGAGCAGCTTAAAAATCAGCCTGTTACAGAGTCCCGAGTGCCCCTGAGGGTGCGAGCCTTCCACGGACAGGCCATCTCCGGCCCCTGCCCAGCCGCACCCTGAGGGGGACACCGCCCCAGCTCTCCCTGCCACTGTCCCACCTGAGCTTCCTGTCTCTCTTCCCAGCTGAAGCTGACCCCGGAGTACCTGCAGCTGATGAAGTACAAGGCCATCGCCTCCAACAGCAAGATCTACTTCGGCAAAGACATCCCCAACATGTTTATGGACTCGGCGGGCAGCCTGGGCAAGCAGTTTGAGGGGCTGGCCGACAAGCTGAGCCTTGACCTGGAGGACGAGCCGCTGGAGGCAGGCGTGAACGAGGACTGAAGGGAAAGCCTTGGTTGCTACAGCCTCAGATGACACTTTACAGAAGAAATCTATTTTTTCAAGATGAAACTGAATGTTCCTGCCCTTGCACACTACCTTCTCTGACTCTCTTCAGGCGACTGTGGTGAAGGAGGAGGAAGGGATTGAAACAACTCCCCGCTTCCTGGAGGGGAGGGGGCTGGGGGGTGATGATTGGGGGTTTTATTCAGGTAAGTGGGTTATAGGACTTCTGATAAGGTTTGTACACCGCGCATCCGGTCTCTGCCGGGCCCGGGCTCTGTCCCTTTGCAGATGGCCGAGGTAGGAAGGAGCAGGCGAGGCTGAGGGGGGTCACTGCTGTGGGACTGCCTTTCCCTCCCGGCCCCCTTGTCCCTGCCTCTCCCCGGTGCCGGGGGTCTGTGGCCGAGGCTCCCACGGGACAGGTGTGCACCTGATGCACTGGCTAGAGGAGCCGTAGAACCCCAGCTGCAGGGACACGAGGCAGCTGGTGTGTGTGTGTGTGTGTGTGTGTGTGTGTGTGTGTGTGTGTGTGTGTGTCAGTGCCCTCGTGAGCCGCTGGCCTGTGCAGTTGTCAGGGTTACTGGTGCTAGGTCTTGCCAGATTTTTCCATACCCTACGCTCCTGGCCAAGGGTTCGGAGTGGTGACGCCTGACTCCATGTTTCCAGAGCCAGAGTTTTGTCACCACCACACAATTCTTTTCGGAACTTTTCACCTGATCTGGAGTTTGGTTTTTCTCAGTACCAAGAAGAACAGGGACAAAGAACCCTCACATGTCCTGGCTGCTGAAGTGGGATCACTGTGCCCACCGGCCTTGTGGCCCCTGCATGGGCCCTGGCCGAGCCTCTTCTGGTCCTGGAGACTGTACCCTGGGGAGCTGTGACACTTGGAGGTGAGGAGGAAGGACCCGCCGAGAGAATACCCTACCTGCTTTAGCCCCGCCTCTGGCCTGTGCTGCGAGTTGGTCTGACACCGTGCTAAAAGGAAGACTGCCCTCAGTACTGTGTGCTTTTAAATCCAGAGCCCCAGGCAGCCACACGGAAAGCAGACTAAATGTTAGATCCCCAGAGGCAGCTATGTGGCCGCAAGTCAGAGTTCCCACCCAGGTGCTCAGGCTGGAGCTGGCTGTGTCAAAATCCATTCCCTGTTTCTGTTTTTCATAATTAGCTAGGAAAACATGTGGTCACCCTGGGAGATGGAGGGTGGGAAAAGCAAAAATGAAATGGAAGAAAGGTCTTACTTATGTTCTAGAATCAGGGTTTGGCTGGGGGTGAGGGGAGCTCTGATTTGTCTAGCCATAAGCTATTCGGTGAAAAGCAGCTGTCTGTAGTTGCCTGTGTCACCAGCTCAGGCAGAGTGCTTGGTCTCGTTAGGCCAATGCTGTGGGACCTTGCTGGATGTGATCCCCTCTCGGTTTTGGTCTCACACCCAGATGTGCAGTTCACAGGATGGTCCCAGAACATGGGCCAGCTGGTCTCAAGCAGCACCTGGCTTGTCAGGGCTTGTGGGTGGCCTTTAGCCAGTCTAGAAAGACATGATGGGCTAACTCCCCTTACTTCAGGTCTTGCTGTAACCCCTGTGACTTCTCGTTGTTGCAGCTCTAGTCCTGGTCATACTTTGTAGAACCTCCAAAATGTCCCCAAGAAGGACAGGTTGTAAGGGTTCCAGCCCCTGCAGAAGGACCAGCCTGAGGCATCCTCTCAGTCCACCGCTGTTGATCAGGGGTTGGGAGGAACTTGATGTGACCAGCACATGCTGTTCATGAGTACATCCCTTCTGGGTCCTCAGAAAAGCCCACGTCCATACCACGGAACAGGGCAGGTGCCTCTCGGAACGGCACGATGGGTTCTCGGAGCTCAGACCTCACTGGTACCAGGGATGCTTGTTCTGGACCCCAGAAGAGCCTCAGTAGCCCCACCGCCACCACCGCCACCACCACCACCACCACCAGCTTGGGACAGTGTCACCTCCTCTTGAAACAAAAACTGTTGTCTTGGCCGTTAGCATTAAATCCAGTAGTGGCCAGTCCCCTTGGACCATCGTGGGCGTCAGCTCTTCCCTGAGCCTGGGACAGCAAGCCTACATGTCTGTGAGGCTTTGGTTTGGTTTGGTTTTTTTTTTTTTTCACCACTTGCTAGAATATCTGATTTCTAAACATGTGAAATGTGATAGCCTGCAATTTTGTAGGCAGTGCTGCTAATCACCCAGTAGGACTTGTATCAAAATAAGCACCCATTGATAAAATTCCATTTTTTTGCGGCAAGGGAAAAGTCACCTTGATTGAATGTTTGTCACTCATTAAACTTGGAAGTGATTCATATTCAATACTGTTTTTAGTCACTTTTTAAATGATATAGCCAGGATGTTTGCAAGGAAGCCAAAGTTTGTTAATATATATTTTTTTTCTATAAATGAAATAAAGCAGATCTGTGATTATACTAAGTTGGGGGGGGGGCGGAGCTCAATTGATCCAAAGAAAGGAGGTGTTTCATAAATGATCTGCAACAGTCGATTCTGTCTCAGTGTTGATGACGTGACCATGGAAGGGTTAAACAGAGTTAAAATGGTCCCAGTTACCGACTTTGGCTGTCTTGGTGTGACTGAGGCTAAGTTGTCCCTTAGCTGTGGCCACTGCGTGTCTGTGAGTTAACCCACTTTAGTTCTAGTCCAAGGCCACTGTTTTGTTTCCTTCTGGAAGAGATGACAGTCATTCGCTCTGCATCTCCACTCCTTTGTTATTGCTGATGAGGGGATAGTCAAGCTAACTTTGACAAGGCATCCCAGGGCTTCTCCCACCCCTCCCCCTCCGCCGTGGCTGTACCACTCACCCTCCTGTGTCGATCACTCTGTAAGTGACCCTGCCGGGTTCGTTGTTGCTGGAGGGATCCTTTTGGACAACACTAAAGATCTTGTATGAATTTATGTCTTAACTTTCTTTTCCATCTTGCTAAATAAATTGTGTCTTTGTATCTCCTTTTCATTGAAGTGAAATTTAACAGCAACTACTTTAGGATAGGTGATATAAAGACCAGGACTTTCTTAAAATATGTGTCTACAGGGGCCAGTGCTGTGGCTTGCCTGGTAGAGCTGATACCTGTGGTGCGGGCATCCCATACGAGCACTGGCCTGTGTACCTGCTGCGCCACTTCCAATCCAGCTCCCTGTTCATTAACGCAACTGGGAAAGCAGTGGAGGATGGCCCAAGTGCGTGGCCCCTACACCCACGTGGGAGGCCTGAAGAAGCTCCTGGCTCCTGGCTTTGGACCAGCCCGGCACTGCCGTCGCAACCATTTGGAGAGTGAACCAGCGGATGGCAGACCTCCATCTCTCTGTAACTATTCCTTTCAAGTAAATAAGTAAGTATTTAAATATATACATATATATATAATTTATATCCATCCTCACCATAAATAATCAAAAAAAAAAACCCTAATCTACAAATATAGTATACTTCTTGGCAGGTATTATCGAAGAATTGAAAGAATTCATATACCACTGCAATACTGCTCCAAGGGCGGAGTTACTTCCTTTCTTGAAAGTCAAATACCTTTTATTATGCTATATCGTGTTACATAATAATTATGGAAGGCATCGTTTGGGGCTAAGCGCCGACACTGGGCCACCTGGGTAAAACTCCAATCTGAATTACTGAACTAAAGGGCAGACTGTTTCAGAGGACCCAAACTCACTGTATGTCACCTTGGTGGGGAATCACCACCTTGGACTAGAATGAGCATTGTCCAGGACGGGACAGGATGCGCAGCCATTGTGACTGTCAGATCAAGCATGAATAAGTATGCCCCAATGACTGGGGGAAACGTACCCATCTAAAATCCACACTTAACCGGCCATCCAGTATTTTTATTTGTTAAAGCTAACAATCCTAACCCAGACTTTCTTGTTTTTTTTTTTTTAAGATTAATTTATTTTTATTGGAAAGTCAGATATACAGAGAGGAGGAGAGACAGAAAGGGAGATCTTGTGTCCGATGATTCACTCCCCAAGTGGCCACAATGGCTGGTGCTGCGCCAATCTGAAGCCAGGAGCTCTTCCAGGTCTCTCACGTGGGAGCAGGATACCAAAGCTTTGAGCCATCCTCCACTGCTTTCCCAGGCCACAGGCAGGGAGCTGGATGGGAAGTGGAGCTGCCGGGATTAGAACCAGTGACCATATGGGATCCCGGCGAGTTCAAGACGAGGACTTTAGCTGCTAGGCTACTGAGCCGGGCCCTAGGGTTTTTTTCAGTGGTGTTCCCAGTCTGTGTGCTGGAAAGCCTGCTTCATGGGGAACATGAACTCAGAACTGAATGTGTAGGTTAAGAAAGTAACTAGGCGTTGGATTGCCCAGGTTCAGATTCCTGCTCTGCCACCTGTGTACACTTCTGTTTTTGATTCTATAAAATGAGTCAAATGGGGACCAGCCTGTGGCTTGGGGACCCTGGTATCCCATGTGGCAGTGCCTTCACTGGCGCGATCATCTTGAAAAGCAAAAGCAAACCAGCAGATCCGGGTTCCGACTCCCTGCGTCTGCCTCTCTCGATCGCTGGCCCTTTCAAAATCTTAAAATAATAATTAAAAAAATGCATAGTGCTCAGTTAGCTCTTCTGTGGTTCCTTGGGGAACAGAGAAGAGGAAATGAGCTTGAAGAGATTGTACATAATTTGCTTAAGACGGTCTGGCTGAAGTTTGAAGCAACAGGTGGATGTCACCAGCTGCAAATGCAAAAGACCAGAGGCTGGAGTGGGTCAGAGCGCCTCCTCTGATGGTCTCAATGTCACAGCTCTTGCACCGCATGAGGAGCGCATGAGGGACCTCCCCAAGCCTAGGGTTCTAGGATCCCTGCTGCCATCGCAGACACCAGTGGGAAGCACACGTGGGGAGGGACTGCTGGGCTGCGTTCATTGATGCTGGAACATGCTCTTCAGAGCCAGGTAACCAAGCAATGGTTTGTTTGGTTTTCTGGTTTGTTTGGTTTTGTTTTTTAATATCCAAAAAGAATCACAGTAGGTTGGGAGGGAAATAATTTTGAAATCCATGTTCTGGTTTTCTCATCATCCAGGGCCTTCAATTCCAGAGGTAAAGCTCTTAAACAGTTGGTGGCATTTATTAGTGAATAAGTACACTAGGTTTTTTAAATGACTAGAAAATTGGTTCCTTCAGATATTTAGCTTCTTCATCATTCTCTTTTCCCCCCTTCGATTCTTGCAAATTACTGGAGTAATTTAAAGCCCATTACCAGTGATGAAGTAGGTTTGTATTTTTCAAAGATTACGTGGTAGGAGAGAATGAACGGTTCAGCTGGATGGCTAATGTCCCAGGAAAAGGAAGAACAGACACTAAAATAAAATAACGAACGAGACAAATGGAATGGATTCTTTCTAAAGTACAGCCAACAGGTGCAAAAATTAGAATGTTGATGGGACCGAGGTCGCTGTGAGCCCTTTCCCTATTTCCATTGTTGTAAGGTCAAAAATGTTAGAGGTGAAGTGA